TCTCATACAGCTCAAAGAATAAACCTGTTGGCAGCAGTGAACGTACCAACAGCAGCAACAGTTTTCAGCAGTGGAAAAATTAATTTCCATCTGAAGAGTGACATGATACAAGGCAGAGAGGTTGACATCTACTATGTCCTCATTGGAGATGAAGGCGTCCACAGTGGGAAAGCTTTATGGGGTTAAGTGATCACAGGTAAGCAGCAGAGAGAATATAAGAACAAGAGTGAGAGCAGGGAATTAGAGTCCTTGGAGTCTGAGACAGAAATAAAGCCAGATGAGCCTCACTTATTTTTCATGAAGCCTTTATAGAAGTTTTGCTTTCTGTTTTTCCATAGATAATACCAATGCTGTACCTGGCTTTTATCGTCAATCTTCAGAAAGTTTGGGTTTCTTCCAGCATCAAACTCACGTGACAAAGCATATGCCTCAGGAACCTGTCTGAACTCTGGTAAACCACTGAAGAAAGGAAGGATTGTGGGCTCTTTTAACACTACACACCTTTATTCTGAAAAGAAACAAGGAGAACACTTCCTTCCTGTGATCCTAAGGGAACTCCTTAAGTAAAGCCATTTGAAAGTGATGAGAAAGTAACTTCAATGTTACAGAAGGCTTCTCCTGTTTTATAGTTTAGAGAAACAAATTTCCTAGCTGTGTGTGGGACTTTTTTTTCTTTTTAAGTATAGAAAACGGCGACTTCATCCACATCCGCTGTCTAAAACAACACACCTGGTATTGCCCAACTACAGCAGTTTTGCTACTAGTAGCTGTTAGAGAAGTTGAATACTTTTATTGGAAAATTAAAGACCACCTCATAAATGCCCATATTGGTCACTTCAAAAGGAGTTCAAGAAAACACACACTTGAGAAACTAAGTGAAGGACTGAAGACGTATACTGTAAAAGGAAAATTTCACAATTGCATTCACTAAAATCTGAACATTTTTTCCCCCGCATCATTTTGCAAACCTTATCTTCTGAGGAGGACTGAGACAGTCAATTTTATTATACCAGAACCCCACGGACTGGCAAAAATGAACAATACCTATGCCCTCAACATGTATCTTCTGGGGACATAAAATGTAGTAGTCTGCAGAACTGGAAACTACTCCCCCATACCAAGGTGTCACAGCTCTTAAGAGATGTCTGTGCCCTGTGCTTTGGCTGACAGGAGAGGCAAAACTCTAAAGTATTAAAGGAATCACACAGTTGTATATGACTGGATTAATACTGAGGTGAACTCCACTTTGAGTACCTGTAAGTGACAATAATAAGGAGCCTAAAGAAAGACTAGTTTTTAAATTTGTGAAGAGCTTTTCCGACAGGTAACTAGGTATGTACTGTCTAGCATGAATGATCTATTAAAAGCAGTCTGAAGCTCAATGCTGTCTCTTAACAGGGCATCTGGAAAACCGATTACTTTTATAAATAATCATAGAGTCAGAACGGTTTGGGTTGGAAGGGACCTTAAAGATCATCTAGTTTCAATCCCCCTTCCATGGGCAGGGACACCTTCTACTACATCAGGTGGCTCAAAGCCTCATCTAACCGGGCCTTCAACCCTTCGAAGGATGAGGCATCCACAGCTTCTCTGGGCAACCTGTTCCAGTGCTTCATCAGCCTCAGAACTAAGAAATTCTTTCTTAGATCTAATCTAAATCTACCCTCTTTCAGCTTAAAGCCAGTGCCCCTTGTCCTGTCACTACATGTCCTTGTCAAAAGCCTCTCTCCAGCTTTCCTGCAGGCCCCCTTTAAGTACTGGAAGGTTGCTAGAAACTCTCCCTGGAGCCTTCTCTTCTCCAGGCTGAACAACCCCAACTCTCTCAGACTCTCTTCAAAGGAGAGGTGTTCGAGCCCTCGGATCATCTTAATTTCCCTCCTCTGGACCCCCTCCAACAGCTCCATTGGGGCCACAGAGCTATCTTTCTCGTGTCTTCCATTTCTTTGAGATCTCCTTCCATAGGTTCCAAATCCATGGTGGTGTTCAGTGCTTTTGGAGTTTCAGATGTTGTAAATCATTGCATCCTATGAACATTCCGTAGGTATGCCTTGGTTATTTACATGTAAAACATTGTCCATCACAAGCATGATCTTCAGAACTATATTATGAGATATTTCAGAAGATAACAGCTTCCCTGCTGAGGCACTTAAAGGAATGAGAACTCTAAAAATAGCATCCCGAGGAGAGCATGAGATCTGCTCTGAGGGACAGAACAAGCAGCAGGTAACAGCTTAAGTACTGCAATTGAAAACAGATTATGAAAGGCATTACCTGGAAAAATTTGAAAATCTTGCAGGAAAATGATGAGATTACTGTAAAAAATATGTACACATGCAATTCACAGGGCAGCACTCAGCACATAGGGAGACAATGTATGGTGAAAGGACATGCGAAAATGTTCTGCAAGCTGCAGGAAGTATTGATGAGCTTAGTTCAGATGCGGTGAATTCTGACTAACCTGAGGAATATAAGATGATCCCGGTTAGAGACTTTTGCCTGGAAAAAACCAACCCCAACAAAACACCCAAGAATACTGATTTTTCTTGACGTACAGAGAAACAGTATTCCTGACTGTGATCCAGTCCAGAAGAAGACTATGATCTGGATTTCCCATTAGTCCTACTTTTCAGTAGTAATGAATCGCAAGACAATGACAGAGCCAAAGAAGCAGAAAGAACGTGTTTTTTTTTGTTTTTTTTTTTTCACATAATTGGAGCGGGTGATTTCCAGAACAAAAGTCAACTGAATATATTTGTGTGATCATTTTTGCAAAATAAATAGAAAAAAAATTACCTTTGCCCTTACTCTGGTTTGAGTTGGAGGTCAAGCTCTACACTATTAATATAAAGGCACAGTTACATGAAAAACATTCTTCTGTTTTCTTTTTTTTTGCATTTATGAGATTAATTTGGGAGACCTGTTTCTGGCACGGTGATCTTGCTGACAGACCTGAGTCACATCTGGTTTTAACAGCTTTCTAGGTAACTTGATAACATATTTTAAAATGTTTGGTATGGTCAACAACATTCAAGGATCATGGGGTGAGAATAACGCACTCTGCAGAACACTCACAAGGCTCCCTTAAAATCTTGAACTGAGTAATAGCCACCAGTGAGAACTGGTGTACAGCAAGATGGGGTAGGCTGTCCAGATTTAAAGGAAATGAGATGAAAGAAGAACAATCATTAGAAAAATATTTCTAATGCTTGTAAGGCAAAGTGGTCCTATGCACCACAAAATTAGTTCTGCAAAGAGTAAATTTACTTCCTTGCTGCAGAAAAGCCTAGTGAACATAAATCTGCAAATATGTGCATAGTTTTAGTTTTCTCTGAATTTTAAAAGTTACATTAAACCCTTCCATTAGACAAACACAAGCAGATCTGAAGAGACCTTCACCATTCTGCATGGTGATAATGAACACTCTCAGAAACAGCCTAAAGATACCTAAGAGCAGGCAGAAGCATGTATATTGTAAAGGAAATCAGCCAAAAGAGATTAGTTCTTTGGCCTGGAGGAGGAGAAAGATCTTTCATAGGGAACCTTTAAAGTACAGAAGAGTCTGACAGGAACAATGAAACAGTCAGTGGCACAGAGTTAGAAGTATGAACCTGAGAGTCAGAAATCACAGAAAGAATATAAAAGGAAGAGTTAAAAAAGACTTTATATTGCGTGCGTGTACGCATGTGTGTTGGTAAACAGAGTATCAAAAGAGAAAGGCGAGTTGCAGTACGACCCATTCACATCCAGACACGCTATTTTCGTTCCTGCACTTTGAATAACTGCCAGTGTAGTGTGTAGGAACTGCTACTTCAGGAACAGGGATGATGACTGCTTTACGGGGTAAAATTAGTTTGCTTTGGCACCTTTTATCTCGCTATAGGCTAATACACGAATCCCAACAAAAGGCCATAATAAATTCGAATTATCTGATGACTGCAGTGCTTCACTAGAAGAGTAGGTGAAATTGAAATCTCACTAGTCATGAGCACTGCACTTTTCAGCATCTGAATCTTAGCTTGTTAATGCTCCGATTTCCACATTAACACCATTTGCCTTTATGAACTCAGGAATATTTTCAGTACGGGTTTACATCACTTATGCAAATACCCTGTGTGCCTAATTGCTTACTCAAATAAACATTTTCTTTGAGCAATTCAAGACAGAAATAAATGGCAATGAAAAAGACTAGGAAGAGATAGAGAACTACCTGCTGCCAGTATAGGTTACTTGAAAAAGTTCATAAATCAATAGTCATTCTTATTGCTATTTAGTGTATGTACTGATACAACGTCTTTTCTCTGTAACATCAGTGTCAGCATTCCCCAAATATTTCGTTGTTATTGATAAAACAAGGAGATAAATACCCTTTGAAAGTCAACCCACTTTAAATAAAAACACGTAGCATCCCAAATAACTTGAAGAAACGATCAAGACTGCACTTCTCAATCTTTGTTTATGACATTAAATATATCAAAATACACAGCTTCTTTAACATTCATTCATATTGCTTAATTGAGTCCTGTACAGTGTTCTCTTAACACACAGAGGCAGAGTACGAGACTAACTTTGAAGCAAGTAAGTATACAAATGCAAGCCTGATGTTTGCTTGCATCAAGGCCTCTCTACACACAGGTGGCTGTGTGGAATTATAATGTAAAGTATATGCAGATAACATCTGAATGTTTAGACATACACTTTTAATTATAAATGGCTTTCTTTAATAGACTGAGCAGTTTACAGTGTTTACGACATTCACAATGTACCCATGACTACAGTTTCCAAGTGCCACCATGTAATGTGCAACTTTTTCAAGCAAACATATTTCCTTTCATCACTCCAGAGCCATACTCTGCTTTAAGCTCTCAGCTAGTTAACAAAGGCAACAGTTTTGTATATTATGCATCACTCACTTTATTTCTAATACAGTGCATTAATCATTTATATTTTAAATGATGGGCACTTCAACCACTTGAAACGCAGCTGCAAGTAACTTTCATTACCTGATCTTGTGATTTCTTTTTCTTCTTCTTCTTCCCCCAGCACCCTGAACTCTCTGCGTCTTTTCCATTGGCATCACCACAGAGTAATCCATCAAGTTCATCTGTTCCCATCTGCTGTCCCTGAGATGTTTCTGCAGCTAGCCTGTATGAGAGATTCCTCAAAATGCACACACAGTTTTCAACGGTCTGGAAAGTGTGACAAAAAAAAAACAAACCAGAAAAAAGTTAAAATCCTTCCATTGCTCACTCTGTAGACAAAGCAGAAGAAATATCATCGATCTTTGCACGTACATTTTCCCAGCACAATTCTTATCTGCTCATTTCTGAGTGCTCCCTAGGTATCCACAGCTTAAGAGATTTAGAAATTTTTATGAAAAGAAATCAGTAGTCTGGACAGTATTTTTTGTGTAAGTTTTATTATTGCCATATATTGAAATTCATTATATCTGAATTTCACACTGGAGCCCCATGTGAAACAGAAGCCAAGATAAAAAGTGATCAAGAGAACTTGAAGAAGCACAGAACGTCAGCAAGCTCTTCACCTCAGTGAACAGAAAATGCTACGAACAGAAAACGGCAACAGGTTGTGGGTTTTGGTTTGGTTCTTTTTAAAAAAACGAAATAAAGGTTATTTCTGGCATCAATTTCATGTAAATTACCAGAAAGATAGGAGCTGTTCCATTTCACAAATACTTGTGGCATGAAGAGACGATGTTTCTTGAGTAAGACTAGAAATCTCAGGAGTCTTGCTGCTTTTACTGCTTCTAGCCAGGCTGCAAATAACTTGCAGGCAGCCTTTCCCTTTCATCCCTTTGTCCCCCTAGTAGGTTGTGCCTTCTGTGAAAGATGGTGGCGGGAATTCAGAAACGGAGTGAGACCCAGCGGAGGAAAAAGACGGCACTGATAATTCAAGATAATTTCTGCATGTCTACAAGAAGCTCAGTTTAGACTCGCTTGAAGTAGCAAGTACCACGTAGTTGGTTCAATTTGGTTTGACTACCCCTAACAAGAAGGATATTTGCTTCATTTTCTGGAAGCAGGGAAAGCACGGTTCAAAAAGCCAGTCTGTATCTACCTATATCTATTTCAACCGTTCCTAATGCTGCATAGAGATAAAAAGTGATAGTCACTACATCCCAGCTCCGTTGCTCCATTAACCCAGAACGGAATGACTGTGAGGCTTTCGGCTTCAGTCCTCTGCCATACTCACCAGTGAGGCAAACAGATGGGGCTTCATGTACTTTCACATACTTTTGAACTTAAGCCAGGTATGCACTTGGCATATGTTTTTTGAGATGACTTTAAGTTCCAGAGATGATTATTAAACACTGAACTCAGACTCATCTAGACAGGAATTTTAATTTTTTTTTTTTTAATGTAAATGAAATTTCACATTATGCTTGTACTAATTTGAAATCTCCAGCTGAATACATAAACACAAGTAGAAATACATATGCAGAAAACGTGAAACTTCTTAGTGCATCCTTCATACCTCAAAGTTTTGCAGATCTCATGGTGACCATAAAACGTTTGTTACCTCTTTTGGTTTTCTTTAACATTTCCATGTCAAAGGTTTATTCACTCTTGTCAATATTTACTTCTGTACATCCAAAAGGTGCTGAAGTTGAAGCTTTGTGTTTGTTGATTTGGGTTCTGAATTTTAATTCTCCTTTTTACGAAAAATAGTTTTCACACTTAAAATTCTCATTACATCAAAAAAAAAATTAGCTGAGTCCACTGTGAGGACAATGTTACCTCAAACTAAAAACCGACAAGCAAACTTCCAAGCCTCAAACACAACCAATGTCTTTTTCAACTAACGTGATCTCGTACAAGCCAAGAAAGTTGGTTCTAGTCATGCAGTCGGAAAGACTTCACTCCTTCTTGGCTTGCAGCTTTGAACTTTCAAAGGTCCTTGTATTCCTCATTCCTACAGATATTTTTCAGTTTCATTGTAAGGAGACTAAATACGAGTTCAGTAGTCTCGATAGATCAAATTAAAATTATGAACAGTAACTTTGTCAGGGTAACTATGCCTTAATCACTCATTTTTAACATTTTAACTTGAAGTATCATAGTTTTTTCTTATTAGGCATTTATGAGAAACACTTCTGCTAAGATGCTTCTAATGCTGCTAAGACTTACGCACTCTTGACTTCGCCAACATGAGGAATGACTCTAACAACAACTCTGCATGTGCTTGCGAGTCCCCCATCCTTTTTCAGAACCTGCGAGAGCAGGGACCTGCTTTTCAGTATTTCAGTTTTTAGTCACTAACAATATAGCAAAATTATCTAATAGGCCAACTGTTGTGGCATTTAGAATACAACACTTATTACTTTAAAGTGAAGTTCCATTTTCTGCTATATTAGTGTGATTTTTGAAACTAGATTAAAAAGTGATTTAGAGTCAGTTATTTAATTTAATTAAAATTACATTCTACTTTGGGATAAAGATGCAAGGCAAGAGCCTACACTATGGCATTCTGTATTTAGCTGCACAACTGCTTTACGTCATACAGTTGAAAACTTATTAGACAGGAGGTTAAAACTACTAAGGCAGGGAAAATAAGTTTCCTCTCATGTCCTCATTTTTTCTTCCATACGACTTAACCTCCAACTTTTATCAGTCATAACCGCTACAAATGAGAGTATAAGCAGAAGAGTCTATACAAATTATAAGAGTTAAAACAGGGAACTTAATGCGCTTCTTAATTAGCCTTTTTAACAGTAAATCTTGAAATCAGTCAGGTCACCTACAAAGAAACTGCTGAAAAAGCAGCCGAGTTGTGAGAAGGGGCATAAACTGACTTCCTTCCTCCTCCTCCATCCACCTCCCACTCTGCTCCAGTGAAGCCCCTCTAACTTATCCTTTCTGCTAGGCAAGCTGAATCAGGGAGCTTTGAAACAGTCCTCAGTTCAGCTCTTC